GTACTTAAACAAAGAAATCAATATCTCCAGATCAATAGTGTATCATGGCCCCTCTTGCTCTCCCCTTGAGATGTAAATTAGGAAATTCAAAGGAAAGAGAAAGAACTAAGCAACAAGTGGTTAGGCCTCCATACCAGATGCTGAGCCTCTGGCAGCTGTTGGCATGGCCTTTAGTGAGTCTTCCACTTAGCAATGCCCTGGCCAGGGTCTCTAATACTGGTGGTCACTACCTTGTCAGCCCCCTTGGGAACAATCCCTCAAAGCTTTCTAAACTGTGACTGCATTTTTCTGACATAATAAGCATAACTTATTGAACAGATTTAAATCTTTGATGAACTTACAGTGCTTCAAAGTCGTTATTCTGACATTAGTGATAGTCTCATAGACAGTGAACTGTATAAGATGAGATGGATGCCGTAGTGACCAAAGAAAGCACCCTGGAGTTTGTTTTCTGACTAACCCTGTGGTACATGTTAGCTTTAATTTGATTTGTCTCTTTCAAAAGTGAGACATAGCCAAAAGAACACACACACACACCACCAACATACCAACCACTGGGAAGCTTTTAAAAGAAAAAACTAAGAATTTGAGAGTAGTGGATCTACTCAGTAAGTAAAACACCACAAGAGAAATTACAGAATCGGAAAACTAGGAGGAATCATTGAAATGAGCCAGTCACACACCGTTCATCTTACAACTTAGGAAACTGAGGTCATATGGTAGGAAGGGACTTACCCAAAATCACGCAGCCGGTCAGCAACAGGACTAGGACTCAAGTCTTTGACTCCCTTGACTGTGCAAAATGTTGAAGGTTAACATTTTTGGTGTTTAGATGTTTCCCTAAACACTAAATTCACTAATGAATGGTTATTCTTCATAAAAATGTATGACACATAAGTGAAATCTCCGAAAGAAAGAGGAAAATATATTCTACAAACCTGCTAAATTTGGTATTCACAGTAACATGACGTCAAAATTTCATTGGAATACAACTTTTTATCTCATCATTGCTTCACAGTGACACAAAAAGCCCTGGCAAAAACTGCTATTTTTGAAGTTATATTCATTTCTCCAGGTCATCAGGATTTACTGGATCTCATTGGATTTTAACAGTAATTATTCACTGATTGCCTAGAACCACTGACCAAAAAGATTATAAACAGTTTTGCAAATGTCTGAAAGTCACTAAGCAGATCTCCCTGGTTTATACATAAAACTCATAAACTTCCTTGGTAGTATTTAAAATTAAAGGAGTTCAAAGGTAATCTTCAAAAATGCAATACTTCAATTAAAATAATAGAAAATTATGTTTAAAACCATGTTAATAACATTTTGTAAATGAATCTACAGCCTGTTCATACCAAAGAAAGGCAAAATGTTTTTAATTTAAAGCCATGTCTACCATCTTCAGTAACTCCCTTGTATGAGAGTTTAATTTGCTAATTAGACTGATGATACCTGCCTTCATTGTGAGTTATGGGTAATTAGATATTGCAGGGAACTACAAAGAGAGAAAGGACCCCTCAAAGTGCAGCCAACCAGATCATTATCTGAGGCAGAGCAAGCTAAATTATCACCATAAAATTCAAACTAGAAGAATTGATCTAAACATCTAATGGACACTACTGAGGGGTCAAATCCCTTATACTTAGTGAATTCACACTTTACAATCTTTTTAGCAAATTAAAATGGGCTTTAATATAAGAAAAATATTCAGTGTCAGAAAATGTGTACAGAGAAATAAAAACATGTAGAGACAGTCCTCACAGAGTTCTAGAGAATTTCCTATAAACCAAAGAATACAGAAGTCTAAATCCAAAGTTGGCACGGCCATTCTCAGGTCCCTTAACCCTTTGACTCTCACTTTTCAAGACTTTGGAAGTGAGAATATTCTAGAACAACTATTCTGTAATGGAACTATGGGAAATTACTCATTAATCCCAAAAGAGGCCCTCTTAGTGCTTGGGGGTTATGGAGGAAAAATATAAATGCATCTTGGACTGCTGAGATGTACTCACAGTGTGACATTTGACAATGAATAGTGAAGGGAAAAAACATATTTTAGTGGGCCTAACAAGTATTGGTGATCTGTGTGTAGTCCCAAGTTACTGTTGCAACACTATTTCCATGAGACAATATCTTCTGTGGTCCAAACAACAGATTTACAAAGAGACATATAGAATGCCACTTCTTTGTAATTTGATGATACGGAAAGATTTCAATGCTTAAGTAAATTACAGTAATGAGATTATAAAGTTGTCCTAAACATTTATTACTGTGGGAAATCCTGACAGAACAAGGCCCATTCAAGACACTGACACATAACGGCATCCTTGTATTGATCACTCATCACTTAGTCATTGCCTTTGATTGTGCAATGGTGTCACTTGTGTCTTCTTTAATTCCCTGATAAGATAGTAAAGCTGCAAGCTTACACACAGGCACTCTGTTTAGCCCTTAGAAGCTTTCTTTGCAGCTTGCATACAGTGGAGCTGGGAGTCCGTCATGTTGGGGAGAACTGAGCAGAGGGGTGTGAGCAAAGAGGCACACAGTAGAACCTGTCTCTTGGTTGAGCTAGCACAATACTGCTTATATGCTCCTATTTGTTAGTCTGTGGCTTCCCAAACCTTTTTCCTTTAATTTGCAAGAGATACAAAATGATGAATTATCAGAATCTCACCAGGAAAAAGAAAATTCTAAATTTTTTGTCATTCGAGCTCAGCATTCAAAGGCATTTCTTCAGATAAAAATGCTGTTTTTCTTCATACATAAAAGTGACTTACTAGTCTTCAATTATTGGGATAATACATAAGTGTTTGTTGACTGAACACTGACCAGTCTCACTCAAGCCTGAATCAAAGTTTGACTGTCTACCACATTCTAGGAGGAAAAAACAATCCCCCAAATCCTTTATAAGTGAGGCTATTCAGGCTTCGAGCGTTGGCATGACCTGCCCATTTGTATCACCACTGCAGACCTCCCTCCCAAGCCTACTCTGATTGTAACCATGGAAAAAGAGTTTGCTTTTCCCAGTCTCATCTTCATATCCCTGTTACTTAAATGAAGAACAAAATAGGGGGAACATATTTTGAGCTAAAATACTCTCATGGAAAATCACATCTGTATATTTATTTTTTTGAGACACAGTCTCACTGTATTTTCCAGGTTGGAGTATAGTGGTTCGATCTTGGCTCACTGCAACCTCCACCTCCCAGGTTCAAGCAGTTTTCCTGCCTCAGCCTCCCGAGTATCTGGGATTACAGGTTCCCACCACTGCCCAGCTAATTTTTGTGTTTTTGGTAGAGACTGGGATTTACTATGTTAGTCAAGCTGGTCTTGAACTCCTGACCTCAGGTGATCTGCCTGCCTCAGCCTCTCAAAGTGCTGGGATTACAGGCATGAGCCACCATCCCCAGCCCCATCTGTGTTCTCTTACAGTGAATATTAGAAAGACAAATATTGTTTTCATTGACCCATTTGTGAAACATAGAACAGTCAGTAAAAAGAGAAGTTAAGATTTTATAAAACTACACTAATAATAAGAAATGAGAATGAACCTCTATGCACAGAGAAACTCCAATGCAGAGTAATTCTGACATCTGTTACATTGGATAGCAGGAAGGAATCACAAATCCTACATGAATCCCTATTGCTACAGATCATGGGAAGAGACTTGATAATACTACCTTTGATCACAAACATGCAGAGAAAGTTTGAAAAATGAAAAATACAGATCATACATGATACTAAGATTTCATTTCAATGAATATTAGGCTATACCTGTCAGAGATTCCAATAAAGCCCTCATAATGTCTTAGATATGGCAGAGTGAAAGCAGAGGGTACAAAATATATAAGTACATAACCCACAGAAAGGCAGCAAATGCTCTTATTTGACATAGTAAGAACTGAGAATTTGATGCATTTTGTCACAGACCATAGGAAATATTTTATTCTATGAATAAATTATCTGATTTGACTTTGTTTCCACTATTTGCTTTTAGTTAGGCAAGACACATTTCCAAATTTAAATAGCTAAAATGTATTTCCAAATCTTTAAGAGGTAAGTTCCAAATGACTGTCTAGTATTTCATCTGCAGTCAGTCACCTTTCCATTTCAAATCAGAAGCCATAGGCTAAACTTGCTTACTAGTTTGGTATTAACTTGTGGGGGGAAAAATCTGTTTGGTTCTTGTTGATATGACAGATATTTTTCTTTCCTGTTGTTTTACATGTATTATTTTCTTTCTTTTTTTATTTTTATTTATTTATTTTTGAGATGAAGTCTCACTCTGTTGCCCAGGCTGGAGTGCAGTGGCATAATCTTGGCTCACTGCAACCTCCACCTCCCAGGTTCAGGCAATTCTCCTGCCTCAGACACCTGAGTAGCTGGGATTACAGGTTCCCACCACTGCCCAGCTAATTTCTGTATTTTTAGTAGAGATGGGGTTTCCCCATGTTGGTCTGGCTGGTCTTAAACTCCTGACCTCTTGATCCGCCCGCCTCGGCTTCCCAAAGTGCTGGGATTACAGGTGTGAGCCACCACGCCCAGCCTACATGCATTATTTTCAATACACAAAATAATGAGCAAAGCCTTGCTGTAAAGAGCCCTTTTGTTGGAAAGAGCCCATTTCCAGGATTTTCATATGACTTTACCCAGCAGGAACCAGATGGCAGAAGCCCATCTTTGGAGTACTGGCTAGGATTACACACCGGGGCTGTCAGCCAGCAGGAACTGCATAACAGAGCTGTGGCGTGTCTGTGACTTCTGTGTTCAAAAAGGGGCACTATTTGCAGTTTATGAGGCATTTTGGGAAGTGTAAGATCTAAAAATCTTATTAGTATCTCCCATCTAGATAAGAAGGTGAGAAACATAGACTTTTAAAATGTTACCCCAGGATTCATCAGTCACATACTCTCGATGCACAAACAACCGTGCATAATTCAGCTGCAACTAATGTTTTGCGTTTTTTTCCTGTGCGTTCTCTACTTCCTACTTAGAACACTTGAAGGATAAGTTGGAAGAATACATGGCCCGATTTTCCAAAGTGAGGATTGTTCGCACCAAGAAAAGAGAAGGACTCATCCGGACCCGACTCTTGGGAGCATCTATGGCCAGAGGAGAAGTCCTGACGTTCCTGGACTCCCACTGCGAGGTCAATGTGAACTGGCTGCCCCCGCTCCTCAGTGAGTACAGGCTGCTGTGGCACCATCCTGGGATGCCTCAGGGGCAGTGTGCAGTTGGCCTCTATTTAGTTTGCAATCAACAAACGCTAGAGGTCCCTTCTACAAGTTTTCCAATAGAGCCTTGAATTCTACATTTTACCATGGCTGAGGACAGTTTTCCAAGTAACTGTCCTAGACAGTATTCTAGGTAATGACACAAACTTGGCATTTTAGATAATGCCAACTTCAATGTAACTTACAGATTTAAAAAGGCTTCATTTAACTTAGATATCCTCCTTTATTGTAGTCAAATTCACTGGGTGAACACTAAGAGAAAAAAGTATCCCAAAACTCTTTTATAGTCTTTCTGTAACTACAGTACAATTAAAATACACACACACACACACACACACACACACACACACACAGAACAAGTATTACAGGATTGTTAAGCAAAGAGGAAGGAAAATTATTCACCCCCAGAATACAGTTAAAGTGTAAGCATCTTTACATTTTCTAGGATTTATAATGCCATTTCTTTTCTGTTATTCTTTTCACTTCTGGCACCAGCCTATATCCCTAAATATACAGTTCCCTGTATTTGCATAAACCCCTTCAAACACAGCGCTGCTGTCCAGGTGCTATGTCTTAAATGCTCACAATATGCCTAAGCCTAGGGAAAGAAGATTATGTCATAACACACTTGAACTGTTAGAAACACAAAAAAATTGAAAGTAATTTAAGCTAGAAAACATATGTGTGTTCAGTTCAGGCTTCATTATTTTTATTTTAAAATGAAGTCAAATATAAAGTCCACTTGTAGATAAGAAATAAATTGTCAGCTTGAAAAAAAACACTCTTTCTAAAAGTCTCTTGGTGCACACATAGTGTTCTCCCTTCTGACTTTGCTAAATCAACTTTTGTCGTAAAAATATCCCTGGCCTTGGAACTGAAGTCACTAGCAACTGCCTTCAGAATAGCTGTATCAGAAAGAACAATTTGCTATTGACTACTGTGTAGGTTTTCAGCAAGAACCAGCAAAGCTCCATTACTAAAAGATGTGGGTGGAAAATCAATTGAAACTGTATAGGATTTAAAACAAGAAACAACCACCCCTGCCACATTGCCCAACCACACACCCCTGCACAGAGGACTACCCGGCCATCCTAATAAACCGTGATGTTTAGGCGCCCCTACAGTCAGAGACTCCTCTGAGCCTTTAATTAAAAGTACCTTGTCCAAGGACATAGCAATTTAGAGCTTCATCAGCAACAGTGAGATTCCCTAAAACAGAATTTGACCTATATGGTGTTGAATACTCAGGGAAGTCAGGAAAAGGCCTAATTTATTTATGAACCAAAGCAAACCCCTAAATGACAATTATTGAGTCTCTAACTGTTCACTATGAATCTAACTAAAAAGAAGATAGAAAAAAAGGAAAAAAGAATAAGAGAAACCCACAACCCAAATTTTCTCATTAAAGCATCTCATTTCCTATAGTCCTGATGGATAAGAAATGATTCAAGCTCAGGATCACTATCTTTTTTTATTTTCCTCTATCAGTGTCTTGACACATCATCCAAAATGAAAAAACAGGCAGAGCCACACAGTTTCTTGGCTCATTTTTCACCTTGGGATTATACCTGAATTTCAATTTCCCATTAAGTCTGTTTGTTTGATCCCTGGAAATTGAAATGTAGGCACAAGCCGTGGATGAAAAATTAGTCATGCTGCTTTCAACCTAAGCTAGTACAGCTGGATGAGGGTGAAAAGGAAATCTGAAGGAAAAGTTGACAGTTAATTTAACAGACACATTCTCTTTGGGTCACCTTGGGACTCCGTGATGGTCAAGGAACTTGTAAATCAAGCTGATTCTGAATTTGATTGAAGAAAGTCACTGAAAACTTAATATTAAAATACCTGCAGGGATGAGAGAAAAAAATATTCTGGACCCAGCAATGATAGTCTCCTCTGTCAAAGACATCTCTGGGGGAAATGCCATTCAGTAAAATATTACTGAATGGAAATACCATTCAGTAAAACTCGTTGTAAGGCTTGCCCTGGTGGAAAACAGTTGCTTAGCCATCCCTTGGTGGAGATTAACTAGAAATGGTGCTGGGGGGAGTCTCTTCATCTGCTAATTAAACTAAAGTAAGGCAAAGGCCACCTCTAGCTCTCTTTGGCTTACCAGGATCATGCTCTAAAATCGCAACCCTTTCCACTCCAGTATCCTGCATTCCCCTTGCCCTGTTTTACTTTTTTCCCATCTCATGTATCACCTTTTAAAACACTGTACGGTGTAGTTATTTATTATGTTTATTGTCTTTGCTGCATTCTTAAAGACAGAAATTTTGTGATGTTATTCATCATGGTGTCGCCAGAACCTAGAAAAAGTGACCGGCACATCGTTTCTAATCAATAAATAATTGTTGAAATATCAAAAGAATGACCGGATGGATGGATGGATGGACAGTTGTATGAATCGATGAAAAGGCATATAGACTTAGAAGAGAATTTTTCCATAGAATGCTGTGGTTTCCATACCATGTTTCATAAGTGTCATCAAAATAAAGCCATTTATTATCACAGCCAGTAAAACCTTAGGCATTTCATCCCACGCTTAAGAGAAACTTCTGAAGCAAACGGCCAGTTTCCTTACTGTAAGAACTTTATCCCCAACACAAATTACATTTACTTCACAATCTCATGGGAAACAAAATATGATATGGAATTAACCAAACCTCATAATTGTTCTAAATGACACGTGTTATTTGTTTACTGTCACATGCAGAGGTTTTCCAAATAACAAGAAGCTCTGCCTATTAGACAGCATTGGTCTGTTACAACGAATATTAGCTAAATGCACATTCTTGGAAAGAAAGATACCTCACAGGTAGCTATTCTAGCTAAACTGAAGGATGCAAATGTCAGTGCCCTGTGCTAGCTGTTAATGTCATTGCAATAACCATACCCACATAGGAAAGGAAGGTGCTGGAACTGAAAAAAAAAAAATCACCTGTCTGCTATCATGAGAAGCACAACGGAACACTCAAAAGGTCAGATTTGAAATTGGATTGTTAAGCAGAGGTTGCATCTTGGTTATTGCTCTCAATAGCTGCACAACCCTTGACAAGTTATTTAATTTCTCTAATCTCAGCCTCCTCACACATAAATTGGGGATGACAATAATAGTTATCCTACAGGGTTGCTTAGAGTATTAGAATTGCATAAGAATAAATCACTTAGTAGTTAACTCAAGAATTTAATAGTAGCAGAAGTGATTGCAGTAGTATTATATCACCTCATACTTTTGTAAATATGAGAGGGAAGAAAATGTATAGCTTTGATCAACAGAGTTCATCTCCAAGAACAGTGGCAAAATAAGACTTGTAAAAATCTCTGGCAAACCTGAGAGCAACGAATTCTATGTATGATCTGTCACCATTTAGAGGGGAGCAGCCATCAAGATTGGTGTGAGATTAGATACTACAAAAACCATGAAGTTAAATATTTATATTTTGGAACTTCCAGAAAGCAGCCCAGTATTTTCTCAGCAGGCTCTAGCAGTATGCTTGAAAGAACACAAGTACTGTTTATACTCTGTGAATGTTGGATGCACGATAACGTGACAGATTGGGGACAGGTCAGAGCAAAAATGTGACAGAGGTAGAGCTAAATGGACTTCTGCAAGTCTCTCTGGGACATAAGTTTCTTAAAGGAAAATACAACAACTCTAATTGGGCCTAATCACTGTCCCATCCTGTTAAGTCCAGAATTCAGAGATTCCTGAAAAGTGCTCTTAGGACGACAGGGAGCCAAAGCCGCAAGCGTTATGCATTAGTAGGTGACTACAGGCTTCTCTTTGCTGAAAAATGATAGATGACCGAGGCAGGCATGTCATTTCCTGTTTTGTGCTTTCATTTTTCAGACCAAATTGCACTAAACCACAAAACCATCGTGTGTCCCATGATCGATGTCATTGACCACAATCACTTTGGGTATGAGGCACAAGCTGGGGATGCCATGCGAGGAGCCTTCGACTGGGAAATGTACTACAAGAGAATCCCCATCCCTCCAGAGCTCCAGAGGGCAGATCCCAGCGACCCTTTTGAGTGAGTAGCAGCCAAGGGAGGGGCCAAGGGAGTGAGGGCAGGTGACTCATTGCAGTGTCAAACGCTGGCTCAAGAAGACAATGATCTCTAACAAAATGGGATAAAACAGGTGGCAACCATATGCAAAACATCAGAGAAAGGTCAGGCCTACATGCTGTAGAAAATTACCAGCTGTGCTGAATACCTGGATCACCCCTTCTTAAACTTTGCTTGGCATGAAACTGTACAGATGAAAGAACCAGGAAAATGCATAAACAGAAAATACATGTCCCTTCTTAGACACTTTCTTATTTTCCATTCTCTCTGTTCTTTTGACTTTTCCCTAAAGGGTTACTGAAAATAACTAATTTATTTTTATTTTATTAGAAATTGATATAAAATATGAACCAGTGTTTAAGCCTACTTTCTACACCCTGTTGGAAATTGTCTACTTAGAATGGAAGAGTGCTCCTGAGCAGATGTTCCCGCAACTGAAACATGGGGAATTCAATCAAAGTGATATTTCCAGAGTCAATTTCCTTTAATAATCCTGCCCCTAATTTAAGTACATACTGCACAGAGAAGAACGTACAGCAATAATCTAATGACTAATTTCTACCAAACAACATCCCGTTTTTCAGTGTGGGCATGAGAAGTGTGCATTTAGAAAAAAAGAAGAAATATGTATAGTTTAGTGTGAAAGACTATCAAGACCAGTCACAGTGAATAGTAAACTTTTTCCACTAGTTAGTCCAGAGATTACCCAAGGGATGCTATAAAACTATTCCTCATACTGTACCCTTTGATGTCATTAAAATTATTATAATTTTAAAACTATTACATATATTTTTGTTAGTACAAGAAAAATGACTGTGATCAAGGTTTTGCACACTCTGAGTCCATTTAAAATGCATTAAAATAATGCTGTCTTTTCATCAATAATACGGGCTGTAAAAATTTGCAGTAAAAAGCTACTGAGTACAAAAACCACTTCTCCGACACAGTTTAAATTACAATCGACATTTCATAATTATCAGGAAAATGTTTCCTATATTTCTAGTCTATAGAAAAATGAACTCTGAGGAAGCAAAGGAATTTCGGAAGACATTAGTTTTTTTTTTTTTTTGTAAAATGAAGCGCTCTCCTGAAACACCCAGAGCTTCTGGAGTTCGGCCTCTTTTGACTCTCCACTTACTGGAGGGTTTTTGAAAAGAAATAATAAGGTACCTTTGTTACTTCCTCAAATGCTTTGGCCAAAATTTCATGGATATTCAAAACTACTAGAAAAGCTTTCTAGTAATCTGAGTAAAAGTGTTTCTAATAAGCATTTGAAGTGGGCTCAGCTGAGAGATGCTATTGAGACTTGTCTGAAGGCAGCCATTTGAAAATCTCAATGGAGGGGCTTACGGTAGGACAAGGGACAAGGGTGTGAGTTGACACTTACGTTAATTAGTTTGATTTAGCCATTCCACAATGTGTACATATTTCAAAACATCATGTTGTCCACCATAAATATATACAACTTTTTTTAACAAGACAAATTAGTTTCAATGTTTATCTCATGAGGAAATAAAAATAGTTTTCAGCAGCCTGTTTGGATTGCAACAACTTATAAAGAAGAACTCACAGTTTTTTAACTTCTTTCCCATATCAATTCACTGCTACCATATATGTCAGTTCAAAAACTAGATATGAAAAAGGAAATAAAATTTAAAACATTTTAGATGTGCATGTGGAGAGGAGTACAAAAGGGCCTTAACCACAGTAGAACTGTTAGTAGGTGCCAGCCCACAGCAGAAGAGCCACAGTTTGGCCGCTACAATGCGAAAGTGTCATGTTTTAAGGACTAGAAATTCACCCAGGCTGGCTTTCCAAATACCGTGAGAGTGACTGGCTATAATGACCTTTACTTTAATTGCACTGTGATAGTAGAGGTCCTGCTTCCTGAAATAGTGGGATCAAAACGCTATCAGCGGAATCAGCAATAGGGACAATTATAAAAGTATTCTCAGAGCCTGCACTGACAGTCGAAATTTCTGTCAGGCTGAGCCTGCCTATGGCTATTACAATATCAAGAGCCTTGCTTTTAACCACAGAGCTGGCAGAATTAGTAACTTTCAGAACTAGGTTACCTCTTGTTTCTGTCACTAACTTAGGTGGTTGCTGAACTGCCAAAAATTGCATTCATCAATTGCATATTACTATCTTTCTGCCTTAAGTCTTTTTGATTTCTAGGAATGTGGACACTTTAGCCTCTTGTAATAAATGTAACTTCCAGGAGGTGTCCACTTTGATCTTACAAAGTGTGTTCGCCTTCCTGATAATAAGAGAATGGTTGCCCAAGCAGCTCTGCGCAGTGTATCAGCAATTTCATTATCACGGCAGTCCGCTGAATGTGCTCATAAGCAGACAAGCTTTAGGCTAAAACATGCTTCTCTGGCTGTAAAGCTTTAAGGTGCACAGAATGCAGTCTATCTGTCCATCTTTCTTATAGTGTTTCATGCTTCGAGAGCCTGCTGCTGAAGTGTATGGTTTTCTGTGGGAAGACAGGGAGAGGAGACTGAAAAGCTAGGAAGAAAGGAACCAAAGAAGGATGTGCAAACATATCACAAACCCCAGGACTTTTCATACAATAAGGATGCAAAAGTTATCTTTCCATACCAAGTTTATCAAATGTCTTAAGTGACAAGATTTGAATTATCTCATTTTTTCTGCCATTACTTGAATTTTCAGTGACTATTGATTAGAGCAGTGTTTTTCAACTTGAAAATTCTGTGAAATTAGTGTGGCATGAACAGTATTTAATTAGTAATGAATTGGACTGAATTCGATTGAAAATTTTAGAGTATTATACTAGTGGGTAAGTGTGTCATTTTTCAAATATTCAATTTCAGTTATAATGCATATGTGGTCCTGATGTGGTATTTCTTCTCATAGACTACACAGTCCAAGAGATCAACATGTACCAACTTTCTAAACTAGGAATCAAGATCTTCAACAATCTGACTAGAAAAGAAAAAGATAACTCTTTGAGCATTAAGAAAGTATTTACTGATATTTACAAAAGTATCCTGTTTTTCAACAAACTGCTGCTAGAATATGAGAGAAATGCAACATTCATGATTTAAATTATTATGTAGTGGTCGTAATTCCTATTGGATTGGATACATTTAAGAAATATTTTGGTCAGGCGCAGTGGCTCATGTTTATAATCCCAACACTTTGGGAGGCAGAGATGGGTGGATCATCTGAGATCAGGAGTTCGAGACCAGCCTGGCCATTATGGTAAAACCTTGACTTTACAAAAAAAAAAAAAATTAGTGGGGCATGGTGGTGCACCCTTGTAGTCCCAGCTAATTGGGAGGCTGAGGTGGGAGGATTGCCTAAGCCTAAAGAGGTTGAAGCTGCAGTGAGCCACGATCACGCCACTGCATTCCAGGCTGGGTGATAGAGTGAGAGCCTGTCTCAAAAACAAGAAAATAAAATTAAACACGAAATACGTTTGGCTGCTTATTAAGGAAGAAACCAAAATGTTCCCTCTTTCTGGTGGCTTTTATCATGATATAATGCTTTGAGGAAATTCTTATTATTCATGGCTTTTAGAAGGTGTTCTCATTCCTGGTCCATCTTGAATTCAGGGCACTTGGAAATGAAAGACTTTTCTGTATGACAAAACATAATATGCTCCTTCCGCCATGATGACAAAGAGAAAGATGTTCATTTTCTTTCTAAAAGTTTAGAGTGGGCCTGAAGAAATTATCTTGTCCCAGGTCCCTTCACGGTGAGCAATCACTAGACAATGTACAAGATAGGCATCCAGACTCTGCAGTAACTCATCTGTAAAGTCAATTTCCTACCTCAAAAGAGAGTCCTTTCTATTAGGCTTATTGACAGAAACATTTCCCTTGTATGAAGGAAATTCTGCCTTCCTAATCCCAAATTATCCTACTTGAGATACAAGAAATACCTTATTAATGACAGAGATATTAGAAATATTTGAGTACAGTTGCCATGCCTATACTGCCCAAGAGGGAAAAACAACAAAATATTTTTCTTTTCCAGGTTACATATTTTCACTTCTATCACCATGTTTTCCAGGTCTACTAGAATCCTGTAAAAGTTCACACTTGTTGATATAACTGTTATATAAATTCACTTCACTGCTGCAATACTACCAATGTTTCTCCAACTTGTCTCCAAGGGCAGCATGAAATAGTCCATCCAGCATATCAGGTACCCAGGCCCTAAGACACGACTCTGTCAACTATAAAAACCAAGTTCATTTCTAGGGAATTTATGCAGGTTCCTAGATATTATGCTTCCTTTCTCTAAATACAAAGAATCAATTCAACAGTTTATTCAGTTATTTTGCAAGTTTATTGTATTTTTCGGAATCCACCTCTATTTTGTTTTGTGATTGCGGGGAAATTATCTCTGCACTGCCAGTCTTCTTCAGATAGATCTTCACAATTCCCTAAAGACTTCTAAAACTAGGAGTTTTAATCACCATCGATGGAATTCTTGCATAGAGTCATTAGTGAGAGCTGACATCTTCTATTTTCCATCTATTTATACCACCAGTTTCCAAAAAGTTTAAAATAAAAATATAGATACAGCAGTGGGAAAACTCTGTAATCATCCATCTGATTATCTCACAAACCACTAAGATCCACAGACATATCAGTTTGAATTCAGTGATTCCTCATCCAGAGCCAATATCTAGCCTACAAATGTCCCTAGGCATGGAAAGCAATAGCCATGACCCATTGCCAAGGACCTCAAGGTAGGCACTTCAGGCATGAAAGATCCTCTGACACGGGACAAATGTGAGATCCTCGTGAGATGGTGCTGCAGTCCAGAAGTGTGAGACATAGCCCACGCTAAAATGAGGAAAAATCTACCTCTCTGCTACAGAGAGTTGTATCACCATCACATAGAAGTAGAATGCTTTCTATAGATTTGCTGATAGTACCTTCCTTTGTTCTTCCAAGGGACACAGTGAAGAACTTGCTGAGTCTCTT